AAAACTGGAAGAAACTTGGGTCTCCAGCTTGATTGGGTGAAAGCTCTATTAGTGGTGGTATAGGCTTGATTGAATTAAATTATCAAATTATTGTGATGTGAAAAGAAAAGGAGAAAAAAAATATATTTTTTTCAAGGTGTCACGTGCAGATTGGCCACCAGGGGGCGCTGCTGTCCTGCTAGTGGGGCTGGTTCTGCCGCTGCCTCCTTATTCTATTAACACCGGTTGAAATTCCAGGCATTCCTAAGGGAGGAGGGAGTGTGGCATCTTTCGCCAGTATTGAAGTTTATGACAGAGAGAGAGAGAGAGCAGCTTAATGGTTTAATTGCTCTTCCTTGACGACCAGTTGCTAAGGTAAATGAACAAAGGGACAGGAAGAATTGTATTGCTCTGGAAAAGGCTCCTTAAGCTAGCAAACTCATGAAGAAGAAGAAGACGTGTTGTTTCTTCGTTACTCTTTAGACATAAAGACTTTAAACACTCAAGTTTCAAATCATTGATTTGCATTAGACAGGGTGGGAGACAGGCTTCATTATTTCAAGCAATGAAGAGTCGCTTGGTAGTCTGAAACAGTTCTTTGTAAACGTAAATAGCTCTGCAGGCAGTCTGCTGAAACACTCCTTTTCTTGCCCCAAGCTTTGAAGTTGCTACCGGGGGGGGAAAGGAGGGGGGAAACTGCCTACGCTCTTTGATTTTCAGAACGCAGCCTTCACAGGCAAGAGTTTTGTTGTTTTAAAACTTGGCTTGCAGAGATGACAGCAAATAACAAGACAATGCATCTGGATCACACCTTCAGTCACTTCTAGTTACTTTCACATGCAAGAGAATTTTGCTTGCTTCTTTAAAATGTAGATCAGAGGAAAATTAATCTCCTCAAATTGCTATTGCAGGAGATCAGAGGAGAATTAATCTGTCAATTTACTATTCTGTTTCTGGACAGGAAACTTGCTTCTATTCCAGTCTTTAACAGATAGATAACTCAGAAGAACAAACAGAAAATATTGCTTTATTCTGGGAATCCTAGACAGTGACTTACAGTTTGTAGAGGTGCATCCAAAATAGGTTTCAGCAATCTGATTGCCCCACAGGTAAATTGACATTAGATTTTCCCCTCTTCTCCCAAGCGTCACATGGTGGGGTGATCGTGGAGTCTGCAGCCATGTGGCTGCATGTGAAGGCTAAAGAACAAAGGCTGGCCCCAGGCTAGTGTCCAGGGATGCCTTTTGAAGCTCCGCCCCTTGACCCTTGCACCCTCCCCCTGACCTGTTACATAGGAATACATAGAGTTATACAAGGTACATAGGGTTATGGTTACATAGAGTTATACAAGATACATGGATCTGAGATGATCCAGAACAATGCTCTTCGTTGCTCTTCTCTGCGCTCCTTCCAGGGTCTCAACATCCTTTTTGTACCAAAGTGACCAGCGTTAGGATGCGATATTCCAAGCGTGGCCTCGCCAAGGCAGGGTAAAGCAGTCCCATCACTTCCCGTGATCTTGAAACTGGGATCCCTCTGCGGGTGCGCCCTACTGAAGCACAGATCCATCGCAGGGGATCTGTGGTGGGGGATCAAGATGAGAGAGCAAGATCCCTGGCCCTGTTGCACGTGCAAGCCTTGACCAGTCAGAAGTGTGTGTGTGGGTTCGTTGGCCAGGCTGGTGCAAAAGTGCTCGTGGGACAAAGAGGGGAGGAGGAGGAGGAGGAGGAGGAGGAGGAGGAGGAGGCATCTCAGAGTGCCCCTCCCCCTGCTTGGCCCTGCCCACTTGCCACCCTTCCCAAGACCACCGAAGGAGCCCTCGTGGCACCTTTCTGATTAGAGGTACACTCAAAGCTTTGGTGAACTTCATAAGACGCAGGAGTGGCTACACTAATATGGGATGGAGAAAGGGGGGTTGAAGGGAGGGGGGCTTACAGGGGCAGGTCAGAAAAGGAGCAGGGGGTTTCTCTAAGCTCTATCCTCTAGGTTAATAATAGCGTTACTATTAGTGACTTTAAATACTAGTGGAGACAGTTAGAATTAGTTTATATTTTATTAATTAAGGTTATTTACTTAAAGGAATTGTATCTACTTATCAATTCTTAACTAGATGATTATAGTTAACTCTATTCATTATAATTGTTTTGTATTATATAAACTATGTTTATTCAATATGTATATCCGGACGGTAGTTTGCTTGTTAAAGCATGAGATTATTGTTGGGAGTTACGCCATTATTGTACCTTCCCCTAATTCCAACCCTACCCTATCCTTAATTCCTTATTCCTACCCTTTCCCATATTTACCCTATCCTTTTCCTACCCTATAAAATCTATTAAAATATTTATAAAAAAGAAAGAAAGAAATGGAGCAGGGCCCAAGAAGGAATCCAGTGCAAGGTCAACTGCAGGAGGTCTCAAGGCATGCGCTGGTCAGCTGGATCCCTGCTCTTCCACCCAGCGTGGGAGAAACCTCTGGGGCAGCCTCTGCGTCTTATGAACTAAACCAAGTTTAGTTCATAAGACGCAGCCTCTGCGTCTTATGAACTAAACCAAGCTCAGATAGCAGCAAAGACCCAACCGTCCTCCTCTTCCTCTTCCTCTTCCTCTTCCTCCTCCTCCTCCTCCAATCAACACTGACTGTAGCTGACTGCTGAGCAAGGAGAAGAACCAACGGGGCTCCCAATCCTAACCCCTACAGCCGGTTCAGAAGGACATTGCGGTTGACCTATTGAAAGCCGCTGAAAGATCAAGGAACACAAAAGTGGGGCGTCACCCAGTCCTGACTCTGTCAAAGGTCATCAGCAAGTGTGATGAATGCAGTCTCCACCTGGCCCAAAGCCAGACTGGAGCCGGTCCAGATAATCCATTGGATCTGACACGGAGCTGCTACGGGACCTACAGCTCTGTTGATGGCCCATGTCTGCCGTCAGGTCCAGCTTTCACTCCTTCTCTTGTTTCTGAAGATCCCGGGCTACACATTCGCCTTTCTTCCCTGGCGGAAAAGGCCGAGCACCCACTGGCGGATCTGCTGAGTCTTCATCCCGTACACCAGCGGGTTCAGCATGGGGGGCAGCAGGACGTACAGGCTGGCCAGTAGGATGTGGATGTAAGCAGGCACGTTTTTGCCAATCCGGTGGGTGAGGAAGGTGAAGACGCCAGGCACATAAAACGCCAAGATGATGCAGGTGTGGGCAGCACAGGTGCCCAGCGCTTTGGCCTGGGCATCTCGTGATGACAGCTGGAAGACGGCATGCAGGATCATAGCGTAGGACGTGGCAATGAACCCCAGGTCCAGCGCCACCAACAAGAGTGCCACAGAAATGCCATAGGTCCGGTTGATAAATGTATCGGCACAGGTGACCAGCTTGACCACAGCCATGTGCTCGCAGTAGGCGTGTTGGATGACCTTATGGAAACAATAGGGCAACCTCTTGAGAAGTACAGGGCTAGGCATGACCAATATGGCCCCTCGGGCAGCAGCTGCCAGTCCCATCTTGGCAACCACCGCATTGCTGAGGATGGTTGCGTAGTGCAGTGGGTGGCAGATGGCCACGTAGCGGTCCCAGGCCATGGCCAGCAAGATGGCAGAGTCCACTACGGAGAGGGTGTGCACGAAGTACATCTGGAGCAGGCAGGCGCTGAAGCCAATCTCCCTGGAGCCCGCCCACAGGATGCCCAGCATCTTGGGCAGAACGGTGGTGCTGAGGAGCAGGTCGTTCACGGCCAGCATGCAGAGGAAGAGGTACATGGGCTTGTGGAGCTCAGGCTCCATCCTGACGACCAAGATGACGGTGATGTTCCCCACCAAAGTCACCACGTAGACGAGGCAAAGCGGGACACCGATCCAGAAGTAAAAAGCTTCCAGGCCGGGAATGCCCACCAGTATGAAGGAGGCCTGGCCCAGGTCTCCCGTTCCGTTGACCGTGGTCATCAGGGCAGGTGTCTCACCCCACGTGCTCCAAGCGGCCTCTGGGCTGAAGAAAGACGGGGAGGGAAAAGATCAGAAACCTCCGATGGTCACCAAGGTCTGGGCTCCCCGAGGAGCCGCTTGGGACCCCCGTGGCTCAAATCTGCCTCCCTCGCTCATGTTTCGGTTCTTGTGCCCTGACAATCCCTGCCTGGGCTGGCTTTGCCACCCCTNAACCTCCGGGCCAGCCCAGGGCCGCTGAGAGCCAGGAGCCCCACCGAGCAGCAGCGGAGGCAGCCTTCCCCAGGGGAGGAAGCAGCCATAAATACTGTGGACAGCAAGGACGGCTTGGCCTCGTGGCATGGCGCATCGGATTTCTTTCTTCTCCTGGACTGTGAGAACTACCAACAGCACCAGCCACCACCGTCCCTGCCTGTAAAATAATAAAAAAACAGAGCAGCAGCAGCAGAATGAGAATAGCCTGGGGAGCCAGTCCTAAAAGGACATAACGCAGCAGCAGCCGCAGGTCTTCTTCTACTGGGGAAGCAGCAGAGATGAAGGACCCTGATTCTTGCAGAGGGGGAGCACAGGGGTTTTCTGCTGCTACTTCTTTTATTTACAGAATATGAGCTGAGCTGGTGTATCTGGACTTGAGTTGAAGGTCTCCAGGAAGGTAAGAGGGGGGCTTATGAATGGTGTAAGAGAAAGAGCAGCAAAGCCTGGAGGGGTGATGGGGGCTTCGGAAAGGAGGTTGCAAGCAAACATCTGCAATTTATATATTTTTTTCTCTCTATCTTTATCTCTCTCTGTCTCTGTGTGTGTATGTGTGTGTGTCCATGAATGTGTATAAGTAGAGAAGAACATATGGCAGCCTCTCCAACCTGTTGATGACCTGCAAACACATTGGAGATGTGCCCAGAACTCACCACCCCAAGTGGGCACAATTTATGGTGAATCCAGCACACCTGGAAGCAGGACCCCAACTTCCAGAGGTCCAGCAGCTGTGAAAATTAAAACTGGTTGGACGTGCCGTTGAAGATACGTTGAGGCTCCTCTGAATGGCTTCTTGTGTTCCTCCTTTCCAGGGAAGAAAATAAACCAGAAATATCCCCATGTTTGGCAACCACTCAGAATCCAGCCCCCCAGTTTTCCTGCTGACAGGCTTTCCTGGCCTAGAGAAACTCCACTTCTGGATTTCCCTCCCCATCTGCTCCATGTACTTGGTGGCCCTCACAGGGAACTGCCTCATCCTCTTCGTCATCAGGACGGACCCAACTCTCCACTCCCCCATGTACTATTTCCTTTCCATGCTGGCCCTCTCAGACCTGGGCTTGTCCTTCGCCACTTTGCCCACCATGCTGAGTGTCCTGTGGTTCAACCACCCTGAGATCCACTTTGATGCCTGCTTGGTCCAGATGTATTTCATCCACACTTTCTCCATTCTTGAGTCAGGTATTCTACTCTCTATGGCCTTCGATCGCTTGGTGGCCATTCGGAACCCTCTGAGATACACCAGTGTCTTGACCCATGAGGCGGTCATCAAGATTGGGGTGGGGGTAGCCCTTCGAGCTGCCTTCCTTGTCTTCCCAGCCTCCTTGCTCCTGAAGCGCCTGGAGTACGGGAGGGTCAACGTCCTCTCCTATTCCTTCTGTTTGCACCAGGACATTCTGAAGGTGACCCTCTCAGACCGAAGGATCAGCAGCGTCTACGGCTTGACTGTTATACTCTCCTCCACAGGGGTGGATTCACTCCTGCTGGTCTTCTCCTACTTCTTGATCCTCAGGACTGTCCTGGGAACTTTTTCCAAGGAGGAATGCCTCAAAACCTTGAGCACTTGCTTTTCCCACTTCTGTGCTGTCCTGGGTTTCTACATTCCCATGCTGGGTCTCACCATGATCCACCGATATGGGAAGCATGCTTCCCCCATCGCTTACATTGTCATTGCCAACGTCTACCTGTTGTTGCCTCCTCTGATGAACCCCATTGTGTACAGCATCAAAACAAAACAGCTCCGCACTCGGATCTTTAATAGATTTCTGAAAGAGAGAAAACAGTGGGAACCTCAAGGAGAACATCACAACTGCAGGGGGAGATGAGGTAGTTTCCCTTTTCGTCCTGCAGCAGATGTTCCCCAGATGTGTTATGAACTCAGTCAGAAAAGGCAGTGCGAGGGGCTAGCAAAGGATGGAGCTGTGACGACAATAGATAGCCTATCAAGATAGGGCTTTACAACTTACTCCAACTTATAATAATAATAATAATAATAAATAATAAAGTTGGAAGGGACCTTGGAGATCATCTAGTCCAACCCCCTGCTCAGGCAGGAAACCCTACGCCATTTCAGACAAATGGCTGTCCAGTCTCTTCTTTAAAACTTCCAGTGTTGGAGCATTCACCACTTCTGGAGGCAGGTTGTTCCACTGGTTAATTGTTCTCACTGTCAGGCAGTTTCTCCTTAGTTCTAGATTGCTTCTCTCCTTGATTAGTTTCCACTCGTTGCTCCTTGTCCTGCCTTCAGGCACTTTGGAGAATAGCTTGACTCCCTCTTCTTTGGGGCAGCCCCTGAGATACTGGAACACTGCTATCATGTCCCCCCTCGTCCTTCTCTTCACTAAACTAGACATACCTAGACATTAAGGAAGTAGGAGAAAGCTTGTAAATGGAATCATGACCGGTCATTCCAGAATTATCCTCTTTGGTACATAGAATAACAGAGTTGGAAGGATCTTGGAGGTCTTCTAGTCCAACCCCCGTACCATTCCGGACAAATGGCTGTCCAGTCTCCTCTTTAAAATCTCCAGCGATGGGACACCACAATTTTTGAAGGCAAGTCATTCCACTGTTTAATGAGGGACACAACTTTACAGCAGGTTCTCTTTGAATTTTACTTTCAGCCCAATGGGCTGAATCTCTTTTAGGCCTCCTCTGAGGTTGAGAGGATGGAGGAAGCAGAATCTAGCAAAATCTCTTAATCATTCTGGTTTGTTTGCTGGTGTTAATAATGGAGGTTTCCTTGGTGTGCTTTTGTGCTTGATGCTGGACTGTGTGTTGGAACGTTAAGTTCTCTGAATGGCCCTGAAAGGTTTTCCTTTTTTCTTAGTTCATTTTGAGCCTTGGCTTTCCTCACTTCATCTTTGCAGGCTCGGGCTATTTGCTGATATTCTGCCTTAGTTATGTGCCCCTCTTTCCACTTTTTATACTTGTCCTCTGTGTCTTTCAGTTTATCAGAGAGTTTTTTTAATGCAGCCATGCTGGTTTCTTTTGAGAGCTGTTATTTTTCTTCTTCATTGGTATTGTGCTAGACTGGGCTTTTATTATCTCACTTTTCAAAATTTCCCAAGCTTCTGGAGTTGTTTTCCCCTTGAGAATTCTCATCCATAGAATCCTTCCCAAGCTTTCTCTAAATTTATTGAAATTAGCTCTCTTAAAGTCCAAGACTCTAGTTTGACTGTGTTCTATTGCTTGTGCTTCCAGAATATTGAATTCCAATATGGAATATGGAAAGGGGTTAAAGCACAGCTCTGCAGCCTCATATGGGGAGCCCAGAGGAGCACATGGGGCTGATTGGTGCCCTGAAGGGTTTCTCCCTGTCTTTTGATTTACTTTAATGTTGAATTTGAACTAAAGACTAGGGGTGACATGAGAGCAGCCTTCCAGTATTTGAGGGGCTACCCCAAAGAAGAGGGGAGGTCAAGCTATTCTCCAAAGCACCTGAAGGCAGGACAAGGAGTGGATTGTTGAAAGACCTGAGGTCATCATGGGGGAAAAAATCCATCTATGTGATCATTAAGAGACCACATCAATTTGGTGGCATATCATTAATCCATCGGTCAATCCCCACGGGTGATGCCCTGGTTCTCCTACCTCTGTGCTGGACTGCAGGCTGTTCCTGGTCCTCTGCCTGGCCTGGCCAAGGGTCCCCTCCTCCACCTCATCCGGGGGGATGCTTGGAGCCAGCAGGGACTCAAGAGCTGAGGCTGGGGTCCTCCTGGCTTTTGGCCATCAACCCCTTGCAGCTGGCTTGCCCACCCAGGGGCTATTCCTACATGCCTCTGCCTGAAATGAGGGTGGGGGGTGTTTGCTATGGGAAGGAGCGAAGGGATTTCTCTTCTACTGGATGTTTAAGAGAGGGAAGAGACTGTTGCCCTCCCCCCTCTCCTGAGCCACTCATATTGGGAGGTTTGAAGAGGATCACACAGTTATCAGGAGCTGCGATGGCACAATGGTTAAAATGCAGCATTGCAGGCTAACTCTGCCCACAGCCAGGAGTTCGATCCTCACCGGCTCAAGGTTGACTCAGCCTTCCGTCTTTCCAAAGTCGGCAAAATGAGGACCCAGATTGTTGGGGGGCAACAGGCTGACTCTGCAGACCGCTTAGAGAGGGCTGTAAAGCACTGGGAAGCGGGATATAAGTCTACGTACTATTGCTGTTCTCAAAACTGTTTTAAGAGGTTGAGGGGTAGAGAGGTGGATGAGTTGTTAATCTGTTCAGAGATTAAAATTAAATTAAAAAGATGGCTCCTGTATTTCCTTCACTCCATTTTGCCAACATAACATCCTGCAGCCGAAAGGGATACTAGAGGTCATCTGTTCCAACAGTCTGCTGAGTGAAGGATCCTCTGGAGCAGGACTTTTCAACCTTTTCACCCATTGTACCACTTTTAGGATATGGCAATATCTGAGTACCACCAGTCGCCTAGCAAGGTGTCAAAAACTTGATGACCAAAAAAAGAAAAAAGAAAAAAGTGATAAAGTACAGGTAGTCCTCAACTTACAACAGTTCGCTTAGTGACTGTTCGAAGTTACCCTGAAAAAAGTGCCCTTTAAGCCACAGCCGAGCAAGACACCTGCCTATCTGCCCGGCCGCGCTCTTCCTCCTGTCCGAGGTTTTCATTGTTGTGAGCATTTCTGTTGAGGATTGGCAGTGGGGGTGGGGTGGGGGCTGTTTGGTTTTTATTTCCCCCCCCCGGTCTGCTGGGTGGTTACAGCAGGTTTTGGTCACTTCACATGGCCCTGGGACACTGTGACTGTCATAAGTATGAATCGGTTGCCAAGCATCTGAATGTACATCACAGACCCTGGAGAGGCTGCCACATTCCAGCTGATCGGCGCTTCTTCTGGGCTCAGTGGAAGCACCAGGATCAGCGCCGAGCTACAGCTGGAGCCTGGCGCTGATCCTGGGGCTTCCGCTGAGCCCTGACAGCCCTGCAGCTCCAGCCGTCTCTCGCTCAGGCTTGTGTGGTGCTGCCACCAGTTCAGCTCATTCCCCTCCCCCGCTACCCCTTTTTTTAGGATGGTCGCGTACCACCTGCCAGGTGCCCATGTACCACAGGTGGTACCCGTATCACTGGTTGAAAAGCCCTGATCTGGAGAACCTCTGACAGATGACTGTTTCCTGGCCTCTGTGGAAAGACATCCAGGAAGGAGAAGGTGCCATTTCAAGTAGCCGCCAGTTCCACTGGTTAACAGTTCATACAGTCAAGAGGTTTCCCCTGGTATCTAGCCTGAATCCTCCTTCCTTGTAGCTCTAACCCCTTGGTTCTGGATTTTCCTTTGGAGTGACAGAGAATAAAAAGACTTCTTCCGTATCAGAATCTTTCACAAATTTGAAGATTTCTGATCTAAGTCTCCTCCTGTAGGCTAACCATACCGAGATCCTTTAACAGTTCCTCACGGGGCTTGGTTTTCAAACCCTTCACTGTCCTGGCAACCATTGTGTGGACTCATTTCAAGCCCAGCGAATGGAAGAAAGAGAAGGGTCAAAACCCCCAAAGTGGCTGACCTTGGTTCTGGGCTGAGGTCCAGCGGAAGGCAGTGTTGTGCGGAGGTGTCCTTCAAGGATGGCTGGATAGGTATCTCAAAGCCAAAGTCAGGGAATGTGTGGACCTGCACTTAGAAGCACAAGAAATGGGCATATCGACCCATCTCCTGACTTTCGGTTTGGGATGCCCCGCTCACCAACCTTGACGGACCCCTCCTCACGACACAGCCTCCCACTGGGCCTCAGCCCCATCTCCTCCTGACAGAAATCTTGCCATGGACCTCATGGGTGGCACTTCAGATAAGAAGTGAGAGAACCTAGAACAGGGGTAGGCAACCTTGGCTCTTTTATGACTCGTGGACTTCAACTCCCAGAATTCCTGAGCCAGCCATGCTGAGGGGAAAGGGAGAGGTTTCCAAGCTGAGCCATGTTGGCTCAGGAATTCTGGGAGTTGAAGTCCACAAGTCATGAAGGGGCCAAAGTTTCCCTCATGCTGGCTCAGGAATTCTGGGAGTTGAAGTCCACGAGTCATAAAAGAGCCAAGGTTGCCCACCCCTGACCTAGAACTAAGGAGGAATTTTCTGACAGAACAATTAAGAGGTTGTGGGTGCTCCAACACTGGAGGTTTCTAAGAAGAGATTGGACAGCCATTTGTCTGAAATGGTGTACCGTTTCCTGCTTGAGCAGGGGGCTGGACTAGAGGTCCTCCAAGGTCCCTCCTAACCCTGTTATTCTGTTAAGATCAGTACAAGCCCGGCTAGGAAAAGCCAGGGACCGGACAGGTGGGGGCGCTCTTCCCTTTCTGTCCATGGGCAAGTCTTGGTGTGCCAACGTCTCAAGGGCTTGGTCATCCCCAGAGAACCAGGAGTTCTCTAGAGGTCTGGAGAAAGAGGAGACTTTGGGACAACTCTCTGATTCTTGCCAGGTGTCCACGCATGTCCTCCTGCAACCCCAACCCACATTGGCAGAACAAGCAAAGCGAAGATCTTTCATGCACACATGGAAACCCACCACCTTCTGCACCAGAACTGGCCTCCTAGGACGCTGTCCAGGCCAGTCTCTGGCCTCCTGACCAAGGCAGAGTTAGAGACGCTTCCGGGATGGAGAGAGCTGAGCTGGTGTACTCGATGCCACCAAAGCATGTTCAACTGCTGATGTGGATGGGCACCAGCCCCAGTTCCTGTTGCCAGCTCCCTGGACACCCTCTGGCCGAACCGCCAGTTACCCCTTGAGCCCCATCCCTCAGCGGCTCTGAGGATTCACCCCACAGCCCACAGCAGAGGCGGGAGGCGCTTCTGTCCTCCGTGGGATCCATCCCTCCACGGAGCAGAAATTGGGAGAGTCGAGGCTCCCCATAAGCCGGTCTGCTGGATGCCTGCCCTTTCACCGCCTCCGTCCCCACAGAAATGGGGGGGGACATCTGGAGAGACCAAGAGGAAGAACACCCTGGAGCAAGCGAGGAGCCAGCTGGCCCTGGGGAAAAGAGGAGGGCAAACCCTGGAGCCATAAAGCATCTGCCCTCATTTGCAGGAGAGCAAGGAAAGAGGAGAGGCAGAACGACTGACTTCCTGTTGGGTGAGTGGCTTTGCCTGTTGGGGGGGGGTGTCAGCTGGGCTTCCAGTCCGAGGCTAAATTAGTCTGGGTTGTGGTTCTGTCCTCTCTTCACCTGTTCCTTCCCTTTGAGCCTCTGTCCTTGTGCGTTTTCAAGTTTCTCTGCCAAAAAAGCCAACACATTTCCAGGCTGCATTAACAGAGGGAGAGAATCAAGATCAGGTGAAGTATTAATACCACTTTACAAGGCCTTGGTGAGGCCACACTTGGAATACGGCATCCAGTTTTGGTCACCACGATGTAAAAAAGATGTTGAGACTCTGGAAAGAGGGCAGAGAAGAGCAACAAAGAGGATCAGGGGACTGGAGGCTAAAACATATAAGGAACGGCTGCTGGAATTGGGTATGTCTAGTTTAAGGAAGAGAAGGACGAGGGGGGACAGGATAGTGGTGTTCCAGTATCTCAGGGGCTGCCCCAAAGAAGAGGGAGTCAAGCTCTTCTCCAAAGCGCCTGAAGGCAGGACAAGAAGCAATGGATGGAAACTGATCAAGGAGAGAAGCAACCTGGAACTAAGGAGAAACTTCCTGACAGAACAATTAACCAGTGGAACCACCTGCCTCCAGAAGCGGTGAATGCTCCAACACTGGAAGTTTTTAAGAAGAGACTGGACACCCATTTGTCTGAAATGGTATAGGGTTTCATGCCTGAGCAGGGGGTTGGACTAGATGACCTCCAAGGTCCCTTCCAACTCTATCATTATCATTATCATATTATTATTGTTGTTGTTGTTGTTGTTGTTGTTGTTGTTGTTGTTATTATTATTATTATTATTATTATTATTATTATTATTATTATTATTATTATTATTATTATTATTGCCAGTTGGTCCTTCTGTTTTCCTAGGAAAGGTTCCTCTTCACACACACACACACACACACACACACACATACCCGATGGTCCCCTTTCACTCTCTCTTCTCACGGCCCTATCTTGCAGGAAAGAGACGCTGAGGCGTTGGGGAAAACCTACTGAAGTGCAGGATTTTAAAGGTCTGGGAGAAGAACGGTGTTTTCCTTGTGGTGAAGGATATTTGGGGAGATCCCGACAGAGCCAAAACTTCCTGGGATTGAGGATTCCACAGCTGTGGAGGTGAAGGGACAGACTGAGTAGCTCTCTTCCTCTTGGACATCCAACAGTGCGGTCAGTTTCTTTCTTCAGACAATTATAATTAAGTTGGAATGCCTGGTGAGAGTTGAGGTTCTCCAGCTGGGCCATCCATGGGCTTTGTGAAAGTACAGAATGCAAGAGAGAGAGAGAGAAAGGACAGAAAAGGGGAAAAGGAGAGGTAAGAAGGATGTGAGTGATTCTCTATACGCGAGAACTGAAAGGTGAGCAGCTAAGAATATATATGAACATCCCCAACCTGTTGATGACCTGCAGACATGTTGGATTTAGGTCCAGAAAACCCCCCAAAGTAGATTGGAGTTATTGGCCTGGAAATCAAAAGCATATGGAGGTAGCACGGCATCTTATGAAGGTCTGGTAGCGATGAAAACGAACGCTGGATGGGTGTGAAGCTTCATCAATGATCAGCAGAGGCCATCTGAATAACTTCTTGTGGCTTTTTTCCCAGTGAAGAAAACGATTAACAAAAATATCCCCATGTTTGGCAACCACTCAGAATCCAGGCCCCCAATTTTCCTGCTGACAGGCTTTCCTGGCCTAGAGAAACTCCACTTCTGGATTTCCCTCCCCATCTGCTCCATGTACTTGGTGGCCCTCACAGGGAACTGCCTCATCCTCTTCGTCATCAGGACGGACCCAACTCTCCACTCCCCCATGTACTATTTCCTGTCCATGCTGGCCCTCTCGGACCTGGGCTTGTCCTTCGCCACTTTGCCCACCATGCTGAGTGTCCTGTGGTTCAACCACCGTCAGATCTACTTTGAGGCCTGCTTGATCCAGATGACCTTCATCTACGCTTGCTCCATTATGGAATCTGGCATTCTCTTAGCCATGGCTTTTGATCGCTTGGTGGCCATCCAGAACCCTCTGAGGTACACCAGTGTCCTGACCAACAGGACGGTCATCACGATTGGGGTGGGAGGTGCCCTCCGGTCCATCTGCCTTGTCCTACCAGGCCCCATCCTTATGAGTCTTCAGGAATTTGGGAGGATGAATGTGCTCTCCTACTCTATGTGTTTGCACCCGGATCTCCTGAAGTTGGTTCATTCAGATAGGAGGAACAGCAGCGTCTATGGCTTGATCGTTATGCTCTCCTCCACAGGGGTGGATTCACTCCTGCTGGTCCTCTCCTACATCTTGATCCTCAGGACTGTCCTGGGAGTGGCCTCCAAGGAGGAACGCTCCCGGGCGCTCAGCACCTGCATCTCCCACCTTTGTGCGGTCCTCAGCTTCTACATCCCCATGCTTGGGCTCAGCATGATCCACCGATTTGGGAGGCACGCGTCCCCCATCGTTTACATTGTCATCGCCAACGCTTTTTTGTTAGTGCCCCCCTTGATGAACCCCATTGTGTACAGTGTGAAGACCAAACAGATCCGCACGGGGATCCTCAAGAAGTTCCAGAGGAGCAGAGAACAATGAGAAGCTCATGGAGGTCATCACTAACTAACAACCATTTTTCGCTTGTAGTTCTTTTCCCCTCCCTGGAGACGTGCGTGGAATTCAACAAGAAATGTGGTTCCATAGTTCATAGTGCAGCCAGGGAAGACAGAAGGGACTTGCAGAAAAGCTCAGATTTGCAGGAGGGGAAAGATTTTTTTAAAAAAACCTTTCATTTCAGATCATGGAGGAAGTCTGGCTGTGGAGTTTTCTCCCCCTCCCCCCCTGCAAATTCACTTTTGTTGACTGAATCCATTTCAGCTCCTTCTGAGGTTGAGAGTGACTTAGCTTAAGTTCCATCTTAAGCAGAATCCAGAAATACCTCTAAGGAAAAGAAAAATAGAAAGTTCATTCAGTTGTGTTTTTTTTCCTACTGTTGTCTCCCTTTATAAAGGAGACGGGAGGCTTGACCGGCATATAAATTTAAATAAATAAGTAAATAAAACCTTCTGTGCTTGATTCTGGACTCTTGTTGGGACTTTCGCGGAGATTGGAAGTCTGTCCTGGTTCTTACCTCATTATTCATGCCATTTCCCAGAATACTGTAAGCCAGTGGTTCTCCACCTGCGGCCCGAGACCCCTGGGGGGCTGCGGTATTGTCACAGGGGGTCTGCGAAGGCTTGAAGAAATGTTATGATTTAAATCCTAAGTCTTGGGGGTCCGTGGCCCTGTCTGTGGCCATAAAAGGTATTCAAAGGGGGTCCGTGGTGAAGAAAAGGCTGAGAACCCCTGTTGTAAGCTGCCCAGAGTGAATAAAGTTGCAGTAAAATGGGCAGCTAATACATTTTACAAATAAATAAATAATTTTATTTTATTGTGGGCTGCCACAAAGAAGAGGGGGGTCAACCAATTCTCCAAAGCAGGACAAGAAGCAACGGATGGAGACTTAATCAAGGAGAGCAGCAACCTGGAACTAAGGAGGAATTTCCTGACAGGGAGAACAATTAACCAGTGGAGCAGAAGTTGCCTTCAGATGTTGTGGGTGCCCCAACAGTGGAGGCTTTTAAGAAGAGACTGGACAGCCATTTCTCTGAAATGGTGCAGGGTCTCCCGCTTGAGCAGGGGGTTGGACTAGAAGACCCCCAGGGTCCCTTCCAGCTCTATTCTGACTGGCTGATTGATTGAAATAAACAAATAAATCTGGAGTAACTCTCCCAGTCAGGCTCATCTAAATTGGGGAGAAGATTCAGTTTCTTCCGTCCTTCCTTGTGCTGGGGAAGGGAAGGGGAATCACTCTGGGTGCTGCTTGTTATACGGCAGCTCTGTTGGGGTGTAGACTGCAGGGAAGGGGTCCCCTGGCCCGTGTTGCAGTCTGCTTCTAAGGTGATTTGAAGGATGGGGACCATCACAGGCCAGGCTGGACCAATCTGGGGGAGCAGTCGCGCTTACTAACCCAACAGGCAGCCAGAGAGTTGAGGCTGGCGGCCGCAGTGGCCGCAGAATGGTGCCCGCTGCCCTACAGTACGTCCCGTTGCCCTTCCGGATTCTGCTTCACTGTTTCTCAGACTTTTGCTTCTCTGCCTCTCCTGGGAGGGTCTGCCCTGTCACTCAGAGCCCTCTGCTTGTTGCTAGGCAACTCTGGGCCCCCACCCTCCCTGGCCAGTTATCAGGACCTCCTCAGCTGCTTGGCAGCTCATGAGGAGGAGGAAGGAGCGAGAGGAGCTCCTTTGGCCACTGCATCTCCTCCACCACCTGTCTGGGCCGCTGTGGTAGTGCTGGGCTCCACCCTAGAATAATAGAGTAACAGAATAACAGAGTTGGGAGGGACCTTGGAGGGCATCTAGTCCAACCCCCTGCTCAAGAAGGAGACCTTATACCATTCCGGACCGAGGCCGTCTGAATACCTTCTTGTGGTTTTTTTCCCCCAGTGAAGAAAACAGTCCAGAATTAACAGAAATATCCCCATGTTCGGCAACCACTCAGAATCCAGCCCCCCAATTTTCCTCCTGACAGGCTTTCCTGGGCTAGAGAAACTCCACTTCTGGATTTCCCTCCCCATCTGCTCCATGTACTTGGTGGCCCTCACAGGGAACTGCACCATCCTCTTCATCATCAGGACGGAGCCAACTCTCCACTCCCCCATGTACTATTTCCTGTCCATGCTGGCCCTCTCGGACCTGGGCTTGTCCTTCGCCACTTTGCCCACCATGCTGAGTGTCCTGTGGTTCAACCACCCTGAGATCCACTTTGATGCCTGCTTGGTCCAGATGTTCTTCATCCACACTTTCTCCATTCTTGAGTCGGGTATTCTAATCTCTATGGCCTTCGATCGCTTGGTGGCCATCCGGAACCCTCTGAGATACATAAGAGACGGTCATCAAGATTGGGGTGGGAGTAGCTCTCCGGTCCAGTTGCCTTGCCCTGCCAGGTCCCTTCCTTCTGAAGCATCTGGAATGTGGGAGGGTAAATGTGCTTTTCTACTGTGTGTGTGATCTCCTAAAGGTGGCTCATTCAGATAAAAGGATCAGCAATGGCCTGATAGCCATGCTCTCCTCCACAGGGGTGGATTCACTCTTACTGGTCCTCTCCTACGTCTTGATCCTCAGGACCATCCTGGGAGTGGCCTCCAAGGAGGAACGCTCCCAGGCGCTCAGCACCTGCATCTCCCACCTTTGTGCGGTCCTCAGCTTCTACATCCCCATGCTTGGGCTCAGCACGATACACCGATTTGGGAGGCACGCGTCCCCCATCGTTTATATCGTCATCGTCAACGCTTTTTTGTTGGGTGCCCCCCTTGATGAACCCCATTGTGCACAGTGTGAAGACCAAACAGATCCTCAGGGGGTCCTCAAGAAGTTTCAGAAGGAGGGAGTAGCATGAGAGCCTGGACTCAGTGGGACTCTAAGCTGCAAGCATTGTGTCAATGCTGCTAATATTGAATATTCTTGCTTTGACAAAATATGCAGAACTGTCTGGTACTTTTAGAGTTAATTCAGAGGAGAATGAGGGAGGAGAGAAAAGCCCACACGAAAGGGAACGGAAGTGAATCTTTGCCCTCCAGGTTAATTGGAAGATGTGAATCATGACCCCAAAATAGGGGAGGGGAAATGCCTGGAATGTTATGTGCAAAGGAAGGGAAATTCAGATCTTGGCATCCATCATGCCGTGCTGACACGCCTCTACACTAATAAAGGCTTTTTTAGGTTAAACAATGCCTGAAAGTTCCTTGAAGTGTTTCATTAGTCAGACACATGACACATTGTGATGTACGATTTCACATCCACCGTGGACCTTCTTCGCCCATTACTGCAATTCAGAGCAACGTTGCAATTTCTGAATTTGTTTAAGTGGTATCGGCTGCGTCAGAAACCCCTTTATTGTATCAGAAAGGGAACAATGTGCTTTCCTCTTTAAGAAGAGCGCTGATCTGCCGTTAAAGAGCCAAGATTGGAAATCAAAATAGGGTTTTCCATGCAATCCAGGCTTGATATTTCACAACCATGGAGAAAGGCTGGTCCCTGTTCCTTCTTCCGGGATGGAATACATTTCAGAGGGTCTATAGTGGCCCTCTGAGTAGCCTCCTCGAAATGAAACAGATTTCCAGGTCCATCGGAGTTGAGGAGGAACGCTAAAACTCAAATAAAAATGGCTGATACGCTTGGCGTTGCTGTCTTATGGTTTATAAGCGTGGCTGGTGTGCTCTAAAAAAGAGCTTTATTCTCTGAATTGTTCAGAAGGCCTGCCCAGGGTCTGGGCTGATTTTTGGATGGAAATGAGGCACATAAATTCAAAGAGTTGTCAGAGTTACCCTTTGGCAAGATGGGCAGCCAATAAATTAGGTAAATAAATAAATAAATGCACTCGTCCTCCTGTTTGGGGTTTGTGGGGTGTAAAAGTGAGCCCTGTCTGTCTCTGGCTCAGAGGACTCTCCACTTCCAGGCCCTGCGCCCTCCCTCCCTCCTTCTTGATCCGATCCTGATCTAAGGCCCAGTTTAGTCTAGTGCAGGGGTAGGCAACCTTGGCTCTTTTATGACTCGTGGACTTCCCAGAATTCCTGAGCCAGCATGGGGGAACTATGGCCCCCTCATGACTCGTGGACTTCAGCTCCCAGAATTCCTGAGCCAGCATGGGGGAACTATGGCCTCCTTGATGACTCGTGGACTTCAACTCCCAGAATTCCTCAGCCAGCCCTGGCTCAGCTTGGAAACCTCTCCCTTTCCCCTCAGCATGGCTGGCTCAGGAATTCTGGGAGTTGAAGTCCACCAGTCATAAAAGAGCCAAGGTTGCCTACCCCTGGTCTAGTGGTTAAGGCACCAGGCTAGAAAGCAGAAGACGGTGAGTTCAAGTCCCGCCTTAGCCGTGAAAGTAGCTGGGTGACTTTGGGCCAGTCATTCTCCCATCAGCCCAGCCCACATCGCAGGGCTGTCGTTGTGGGGAAAATACGAGGAGGAAGGTGTGTTGAATATGTTTGTCACCTTGACTTATTTGTAAAAACAATAAAGGTGGGATGCAAAATAATTAAGCATAATGAGTCGGCTTCCTGCTCTTCTGCGGTAAAGTTAGCTTGTCACCGTCAAACTGCAGCGGATACGCTGTGTGCTTCGGTTAAAATCCAGTTATAAAACTCCTACCCAATATTTATAAGTTTTAAAATCACTTTTGGAGTTCACATTCATGCTATCTCTCCGGGAGTCCCTGCTGTTTTACTCACTTTTGGTTCTAAGGGAAAATTCTCCCTCATCTACCCAATCGGAAGGTCTGGTGCAGGAAAGGTCAAAATGGCCGATCACTTTCCTTGGTTTGATTTCTCCCACGGCAGGACCATAAATCAAGCTCCAATAACTCAGGGGCTGCCCCAAAGAAGAGGGAGTGAAGCTATTCTCCAAAGCCCCTGAAGGCAGGACAAGAAGCAATGGATGGAAACTAACCAAAGAGAGAAGCAACCTAGAACTAAGGAGGAACTTTCTAACCATGGGAACAATTAACCAGTGGAACAACCTGCCTCCAGAAGCGGTGAATGCTCCAACACTGGAAGTTTTTAA